TGTATAATAAAAACATGAAAAATTTTAAAAAATTTATCCAACAGTTTTAAATAGACTTATCTAACGATAATCAACATTTCTCTCAAGATTATTTATATTACATTGTGTCTTAGGCAAAGATTACCCCAAATTTACCTCTAAAAGAGGGTTGAAACATCACCTAAAACGAGGAGTAGTATTGAAAATGCCTTGCCCTTTGGTGGCATCGAACACATAAGCAGATTAAAGCTTTTTAGAAAACCCAAAGCCTCCAATGAAAATATACTCAAAGCCCCATCGATGCACGATCCACAATCATGCATTCTTAGGCCACCATTCAATGCCCAAAGGCTTGTGGCCTTGTAACCTTATGAACAAAGAGAAGATGAATCTTCACCATGGCAAACTATTCAAAAGCTAATGTTATAATGCCCTAAGGAGGGGGGGAATTTTTGATTCAATACAACGATACAATTTGAACTTGACACGAATTTTATGACACAAACTCTATAATAAGAACTCGAAAATGACTTGTTACTCGAACACGAAATATAAACGAGTCATGTTTGGGTTCAACCCGCAAAACTCGATATTGACATGATCAACCCATTTATTTAAGAATTGATATTTTATCTATTTTCTAGTTTGCATGGTAACACGAACATTATGAAAATAATACGACTAGTATGTTTAATTAGTATTATAAAAATAAAATATTAATTATTGGTAACTGTTTATTAAGCATTGATATAATTATTGTATAAAAAAGATATTTTTACTCATTATTATTATTATTAAAGAAGTTAATTTTTAGTTTGTAGAAAAAATAAGAGCGTGGATTCAATTAAGTGAAAATAAAATGTTAACGTTAAATTTTTTATTGAAAGTTTATGTGGGTCAACATTAATACGGACACGAATACGACACGAAAATAAATATATCAACTCGATACGATATAATTAGTTAAATGTGTTGAATTTAGAATTGACTAATATTCAACCCGAATCCGATACAACATAATTCAATTGCCACCCCTGTGCACAAGTCAAGTAGCAAAAACAATTTGATTAAGGTAAGCCACGGATACCCATCCTCCATGGTCACCAAGTAAAGTCGACCATAAATATGGCATTCTGAACGTAAATATTTCATCTATCATGCGATCTATAAAATATAAGCAATAAATTTCGTAACACAAGATGGCAAAATTGAATCCACGAGAATAGAATATCCTATTGCATTTAAAGGTGAAAAATATCCCCCCAAAGAAAAGGAAATTTTGCTGCTTCAAATCAAGTGTAAGAAATTTGAGCTACTTGAACCACAAAAATGTCATGTAAAAGTCGAGCATTAATGGAGGTGTAAAGGAGCTATGATGTGGCAGTCAGTGTCTTCTCAGCCACAAACCCTTCCATCTCAACAACCCTCCATTGTCTAGACCCTAGTGTCCTTATTCACCCACTCTTCTACTTTAAATGCTATTTTCTCAAAAACTCTCAACAAATTACATATTTACCTTAAAACTCTTTTGGCCGTTTGTTTTAAATATTAGAGTGATATACAGAGGTGGTATTAAGAAAATAGTATATAAAATTTATTTTATATATTATTTGTTTGATATTTTATAGTCAGTATTATTTTTTCGGATCGTAATATCGACCCGCTATGAATAGTAATCATAATGTCTTGTAGAAGGTCTTAATGAATAATATTTAGGGGGTGATATTATATTCTTAGTATAAGTATTATAAATTAAAAAGATCGAAATGTCCTCCGGTACAATTCCCATATAAAAATCTAGCCGTAATTTTTAACTTTTTAAAGGTTAAAATTGTCTTTTACATTGGTTAGCCGCAATTGTTGATTTTTTTAAGTAGGTATTACACAGATAATATTTGTGATAAACAAATAAAGAGAAGGATGAGATTATAGTTTAACACCGGGTATAATATACCATTGAATTGGAGTGAAATGAATATAAAATCTTATATCACCTAAATTTTATACTCGAAACAAACGTGCCCTTTTAGTTTTGTTATTATAAGGGTCATTGCGGTAGTGGATTCGAAAAAAAATAGTGTCAATATATAGATTAAAATATATTAGAAATCTTACAAACAATATGTATAGAAGAAGTGACACAGTATACAAAACACCAGTTATTGCGAGATCTACAGAGTTATTACCCTCACGTACGAAGAAACTATTTTTATTACTTAAGTCCTTAACGCTCAAATCACTAATATACCTACCTTACCGCTCTTGAAAACAATTACCATGTCAGAAAAAAATGTGACTCATCCTTGTTCCCTTGTCAATTTCTCTATAAATTAATTTGTTTAGTTACACAACCCTACAAAATATTGGAGTTGTCTACGATACCGTACCCATTTTTTTTGACATTTATAGGTATTTTTATTAAATTTATGTGTATTTTTACCATTGTTGTGGTATCAAAAAAATAAAAGAAAATAGTTACTATAATAGTGATAAAAATACCCACAAAGAAGATAATTTTTTTTGTACCAAAAAAAAAAGTGATAAAAATAATTACCACAATTGTATTAAAAAAACTCATAATAGTGGTAAAAATATTCACAAATGTGGTAAATCAATTACAAAAGTGATAAATTTTTTAATTGTAAAATAACCAACAAAAATTATAAAAACACCCATTAAAATAGTAAAATTTGGAAGTACGGTACCAAAGAAAATTTTTTAGTACCGTACCTCCAAATTTTATTAATTTATAGAGCTAATTATTTCATCGTACCTCTAAATTTTATTATTATATAGAACTAATTATTTTTTTAGAGCTAACTACTCGGTCCAATTTATTTTTTCGATACCTTAATCAAGTACTAAAATATTATATTCCCGACTATTTTTTGCAACCAAAGGTTAGACTTGTGTGAGCTCCACTTTTCTTGTTTCTTGTTTCTTTTTTCTTGTTTCTTGTTTCTTGTTTCTTGTTATAATCATCATGGCATTGAAACATTTCAGTATATTGCGTGGTTGAATATGATATGTGGACTTTCCTACTTCTTTTCATAATGCCTGGCCCCGTCTAAGGACTTTTGGTAGTGTAAGTCAACAACAAACAGCTTACGAAATAAGGTGGCAAATATGTCGTTATTCTCTTAATGCTTCTCTCACATTTTCTAAGTTGAACAAGTCTGTATGGACTGTACTCAGGTAAGAACAACAGGATATATATAAACTAATATAAACCAGACAGCTTTTTTCAAATCAGCGTCCTTCTCAAATTGCTAAATCTTCAAGTCAAAGGCCGGCCACTTGATGATGTAAAACATCATCGATCACAGTTTTGTTTTGTTGGTGGATTTTCACCTGCTTTTTACTTTTTGGCCGGGTGGGGAGTGAAAATTGATCGGCTTATTATTCTTTTTTTGGTAAGTATTTTCAATTCACTGTTTTTCAAATGAAAATTATTATTTATATTTAAATTAGATTTTATTTGTTGGCTTAATGCATTATATTTATTAAATTGTTAGCCTGTCTAGAATAATAGTGGGATTCACTATTAGTCTAATGACTACGAATAATTAGCTCCACAAATAAAATCAAAAAAATAAGGAGCAAGAACTTCAAAAACTTAATGCTCATACTCAAATACAACGGAAACAGTATATTGAGACCATGAAAATATAAAATATACAATTTTAAAATAAATTGACTTTCTTCATTTTTATTTTATTTTATTCTTATTGGGTGTTTAAATTTGCGCTGACTACTTTTTCTAGCTCAACAGCTGGTTACTAGGCCTGATAATCATGTTGAATGGAACGAGTTTGTGTCAAAAAATTCTCTATTTATACCTTATTTGTTTATATAAACGAATCCAACTATTACACTCATATACGAATTGTTTATTAGACAGATTATTCGATACAACTCGTGTGTCACCTGTTAAATAAGAAAATATGTTAAATAATTTTAAGTTCACATGAAAAATTATTAACTTGCCACACATTACACATGTTTGACCTGTTCACGATAACAATAAATCATGACTGAACAAAAAAATAAAGACAAAAAATAAACATTAAATGATTATTAAATTTGAATGATTCTGAGAGATAAGAGATGTGAGATGAGATAAAGACTAAGAGACTTAACTTATTTTTTTAAAATTTATTGTACCATTATTAACGAGTTAAACGGGTTGAAACGAGTTTATAAGTTAAACACGAAACTGGTTCATTTATTTCACGAGTTTGTCGACTTAACTCATTAACCATCCGAACCCGTTAGGACTACACTCAAACTCGCTAAATCCGTGTCGGGTTCGTGTTGATTTCACAAGTCGTGTCTAGAATTGTCAAGTTTATTGGTCACCATGACTTGAATTATGTTAGAGAATGTCCCTAAATCACTAAGGGTGTGTTTGATTTATTGAACCAAAATGAAGAGACATTATTATTATAATTAATCTAATGCCCAGATGGATGTGTATGAAATGGACGAGTTTGTCCAATCCAATCATCCATAATGCTTAAACCAAGCATGTCCTTTCTTTATCTGTTTCCTTATATTAAGTCAGATTTCCATACAATATGTTCAAAATTTACCATTCGAATTTACCTGGTAATGGGTACTAGTTCTCTTCTTATGAATGGCCTTATGTGTTACTTTGGCCCCAATGAACAAGGAGGTTGGTGAACAGAATCCTAATGAAGATTTAGGCAGCCAATATATTTGACAGGTTTTGTGGTTTTGCATCTGAATTCTAGGAAACAAACAGAATGGTATTTTTTTTCTTTTTTCAATTAAAATCAAAGCAAATTATTGAAAGAAAAGGAAAATAATCTCAAAAGTAGGCCCAGCCCTTTTCCTACTCTGTTCACAACAAAGGCAACTAATCATTCAGAAATCATTCAGGGTTGAATGTAAAGTCCAGTCCATCAGACCCATTCTACTTTGAGCCCACGAAAACTCAAAGTTTATTGCTTGCCGTGTGTGACCCTCCATAGAGAGGAGCCATTCAGAAGCGAGAACTTGAGAGGGATTTTGATGACTTGAATAACTCTTGCTTGTTGTCTCTGTTTCTTTTTCTTCTCAAGCCGGCCATAAACCAGAACCAAACTCTGTTTCACACACATCCCCTCTCCGTCTCTCCTTCAATCTGTACTCTTCTGTAATCTTCAATTCTCAGTCATTAATTCAAGCACACAACGATAGACATTAGTGTTGCGTTTTCCGTATTACACAAATTGACGAACACCCGGTAAAATTCAATCTTCGGTTGCACTTCACTCGTTATTTTTCGATTTTCTGAAGGTGGTCCGATCTGAATTTGCGTTTAAATTCTTGGGTTTGATTTAGAATTTCGCTTAGATTGGTGGGTTTTCGTTGAAGATTTGGTTTTCTTCTGGGTTGAATCCAAATGGTCTGTTTCCATAGCTCAATTTCGGTTGACCAACACATCGTCATGGCCAAATCTGTGAACTCAACCGACCCGTGTTCCAAATTGAGGCAAATTAATCAAGTGCACAAGAATAAGAAGACATCCAACTCGCCAAATCATCTTAGTATTCCTTCTTGCCGACAATCTCGATCGGCTGTGATCGATGTGATAATCTTCATCGCTGTTATTGGTGCTTGTGGGTTTCTATTATATCCATCTATGAAGCTTGTGTTGTTCGAAACTGTAGAAATTGTTGAAGTAATTGTTTATGTGGTGAAAGATGAGATTTTCCAGGCTCCGATGATTTATGGGTGTTTAGGACTTAGCATTTTCTGTGCTGTGGTTGCTGTTTTTGCAGTCACAGTGTGTACAACTGGGAAATGTGGGAAATCGGGTTGTCGTGGGCTTCAAAAGGCGGCTGAATTCGATATACAATTGGAGACAGAGGAATGTGTGAAAAGTAATCCAAATACCCTGGCAAGAGATGGTTTAAAGAAGGGTTTATTCGAATTGCCTCGCGATTACCATCGAGAATTGGAAGCTGAGCTTAAGAAGTTGGCACCACCTAATGGAAGAGCTGTTCTTATTTTTCGAGCAAGATGTGGTTGTTCTGTTGGCAGAATGGAAGTTCCAGGTCCAAAGAAGCTTCGAAAGGTGAAGAAGTAGTTTTAATATGATTGCTGATTTTATACGTAGCATAATAAATACAGTAATAATCATAACGAATAGAGGACGGCCTTGTAGGGTTGATTTCCTCTGAATTATATAGTTTTCAGATAAAGAGTATGGCAATAAGTTGTAAGGATAATATATATGGTTATAGTGGGTATACCAGATTCCTTCTTGCATTTACTTTAGTCTGTTGTGATATTTGCTCCTCTGAATTGCTGATTAATTTTGTCTAAGGAGACGGGTTTCATTAATCTTGGGATAAATATGCTCTTTAGGTTTTGAATTTCCAAGATGTTGGTTTGTGCCTGGTTTCCAACCCTTGTCCAATGTTGTTCTCAGACATTATAATTCAAACTGAAACCTGAACTATGAGCTAGCTATGCACAAGTTGAGCACATTTTGAGAATTAAAACTACAAACACCCTCAGCCCTCTCCTTTCATGCGCATTCCTATATGAAGCTTTGAGATGCTTTTGATTCATCATGAGGAAGAAAGTGTAAAGTCAGTCAATGAAGTAATGGAATTAATATTATGAGAAATAACTATCCATGTATGAAGGCATAAAACAGCTCGCTTCAGGTGAACTTCGTATGCAAAATTCTCTAGGTCTTGACTCTTTAACTTTTGTACCTATTACTTGTCAGTAATGCTGCACCTATCTTAAACTCTTCTTGATTCCTACATATTATTCTCCCATATTATTTTTTGCTTGAATCCTTGTCAGTTTCGAGAACATATTTGTTTTAAGTAAGTTGAAAATGATGTGCAACTATTAAGATTTTACCACCTGCAGGGAGAGTAAGAATATGCTACAACAAGTGACTGGTATTGTTTGTTTGATTCTTTAAGTATGATTTGACGTTGTCTGTGATGAACTAATTGCTGGTTTCATGGTGATTCGCTGCACTATGATTTTTTGACACTCATTAGGTGGAGATCGGCTCATTCTTTTAGTGTTATGAATCTGGCCCAGCTGGTCGATTCTCCTAACTGTGCTAACTAAGCCCTGAATATTTTCATGATCAGCAACCACAAACTGGTTCTTGGGTTGAAAGCAGTATTTTCAGTCACTTGATAGAGGTTCATTTATGGATCAACTTCTTGACACAAAAATTGTTCTATTGGTTTCAGTGTGACCCTGACCCACAATGCTTATTTGTTTCCCATTGTCAAGTGACATTAGGATCTGCACGTCTGTTGGAGGAGTTACTACCTTATATCTGACGTGATTGCGTTGTAAGCCTAAGATTTTATATCCTGAATTCTCCCATTGGTAGGAGTAAGACCTGGTCTAACTTCTTCAAGACTATGCACAGTAGTTCACAAGACCCTCGACATTTTGTTCCATGCTCTTAGTATATGATCTTGTTCTGAATGAGAGGATGAAATGAGAAAGCACTTCAAGATATTTCTTTCATGGCCCGAGTATCTGTACCTCGTGTTTTAGGCATGTCCACTGTCACAACAGTTCAGGAAACATTTCTGTGAACTATTCAAACATTGTGTTGTGGTGACAGAAGGGATTTAAACATGTGTACTCAAACATAGTTTATAGGAAGGAAAATTTTATCATCCGCTAGTTGCAGACTTTTATTGATAAGATTGCGTAGATACGACATTTTCCTATAAATTAATCGAGGTGTACGTAAGTTAGCCTGAACACTCCTGACTGTTGAACCAAAAAATAAAAAAGACATTTCCCTCTATCAGGATAGAACTGACAGAAGCTAAAGTCACTATGTTATACTCAATATCCCAATTTTAGAAATTTGGGATCAACTAAAATTGAGTTTGTGCTTAATTTAATTGGTCATGATTTTCTGACTTAAATGTATTGTCCGTCTTGTTATTAATTGTTTATTCATCATAATAATGATATATTCACAATCTAAAAAAAAGATAAGAAAAATTGAGAAACAAGCAAAACTCTTGGCTATTTTGGTCAAGTGAAATATTGAAGAGTGCCTGTTCAACCTAAGAGAAAGGAAACTGTGAGGAAAAGAATTTACATCATGAACCATGAATGGTTATAGCTACTATTATGAACTACAACTATTTTCCTTTTTTCATTTCAAAAATTTTATCATCAACCTTTTTTTGACATGCAATCCAAAACGATTGACAGACCGCTCGTTCAAAGAAAACTCTTTTAGAGCTTTGTATAAGCCAAGCTCCCTTGATTTGGCAACAATAGTCGGTTATGGGGGTTGAATCTTTTTTTCAAAGTTTGGCGACCAAGCACTGCTTACCATGTTTGCCACCGCCTTTCCCTTGTGCCCTGGAAATGGATTAGCATCTACATTGCCTTGAAGCTTAAGCTTATCTTCTTGTCAAAAATATACTTGAACACATAAAAATCCATCGTGCTATGGACAAACAACCGAGCAAGAAAGGCTTTTGCGTTCTCTAAGTGGTTGATCTTAGCTTAGTGTGCTAGCCACTGCTTCATTTCGTATAGTGATAACACTTTCTCTTTCTTAGTGTTTGGTCCCCTTTGTATAGGAAGGGAAACTTTGGTTGCACGACTTTCTTTTATAGGGGTTTATTTTCTCTGACTTGACTCAATTTGACCTACTTGATTCAGACGTTAATTGGAACAATATGAAATTCTAATCACACTTAATTTATATTGTATCAAAATTTATTTAATTTATATTCATTCTATTTATAATCACGCAACATCGGGTTATTATTGCATTAGACTCATATCGTGAATGAGCAGTATTTAACTAGTTCACATTGTGTCTAATAAAATTTGTGTAGAATTCTTAAATTCGCCAATTTATCACCAAATTTTAAGGGTGATTCAAAATATTATAAATTTTCAATGATTTGCAATGTAACCTCCATTGTCATTTTTGTCAAATCTCACTACATTTAGTCTGAGAGGCACATAATCAATTTTATGGAAATTATAATACACATTAATGTAGGGACCGTATATTGCAATCATTTTATGACATTGAGGATGTAATGTGAAAAGAAATTAATTTTTGAGGATACAATTAAGAATTTTAAAATCTTTCAAAAGAGCTCCTGTCAGATCGTTACATAAGCCACCGCTCTATGCAGAAACATAGAGGAACTGCTAAAATGTATTTCACCATAAATTAATAAATTTAATGAAATTTGAACCTAAATTTGCTTATTCCATATCCATATCATGTCCAACATGTTGGCCAAAATGTTAAAATAAAGTATTCAAAGTAATCCAAAATCCATGTAAGCAAATTGGTGATCACAAATTGAGTTGTTAATTGAGTCAAGTTTTACGAATGAGCTCCACCAAATTTTTTAGGCTCTTTTTTAAAAAAAAATTTAAAAATTATTCAAATTCAATTCATTTAAAATATGAATTAAACTGGAATCGATTTATATCCGAACCGAGTCCAAACCCAAATAACTCGGCTGAATTAACTGTCCACAAATTATTGTTACCTGCAGATTTTATTTTTATCTAAATCGATGAAATTTATTATAAGTAGAATCAAGTTGGATTGTCAGCATCAAAATAATTGACAGATATCCCGCCCCAAAAAAAAATAAATGGAAAATTAAAAAAAAAAAAAAAAAGAAGAAGAAGAAATTAACAATTTCGTAACGGGAAAAAAACTAATGATTTCCCCGTGAATTCAAAACTTGGAACAGCTGTGGTTCTATGTACAAACGTCATTAACTAACAAGCAAAACAATTAATCTTCCAAAACAGCAAATGGGAAAATAAATATCATTAAAGAAAATAAAACACTATCAAATATCAATAGTTGTCAACCTCCATACTATCACCCGACTCACTTCTCTGACCCGAATTTGAATCTGAATGCGTGTCCTCCCTAGTTCCAAAATGCTCGAAGTACATATGAACTTCAATATCTCCCACGCTTCTCCTACCCTCCTCATCAACATCACCGCCTTTCGTGTTACTCTCCACAGGCATCTCATACCTGCAAACCGGGCACGACCCGTGGATCCCCAACCACTTCTCAATACAACCCGAATGATACCTATGCTTACACGGCATCTCTTTAGCCTCCCCACCGACCTCATACTCCGTCAAACATATTGTACACTCTGCCCCTTCTTCCATCATCTTCACCACCGGCATCGCCTCTATCGAAGCCTTCGACGCTGGCAAAGGACCATCCTTATTTGCCAAATCATGAAATAACGGTTCCAAGAATTCTCCAAGACCGTTGATCATCGTAGTCAAGTTTGTCGACGGGCTTATAAACATAATATTTTCTTGAGCGACGGTGTTTTGGCCTGCTCGTTGTTGTTGTTGTTGACGGTGGTCTTGTGATGGAGCAGCGGTGGCGAATCCTAAAATCAAAGGGACGAGTACGATTCGTGTTCTGCGCGCTTCTTGAGAGGGCGGTGTAGATTCGGAAGACATCTCTGGTTCTTGTTCTGATGGAGCGGAGAATGAAGAACAAGAGTGAAATTAAAATTGCAATTGAAATTGAAATAGCTTCTCGATTATGATCGATTGAGAGTGAGAAAGAACAAGAAGATAGAAATTTCAGAACGGACTATAATGAATTTGAATAATGGGTAAGGAGAGGTATACATATGGAACGAGGGGACGCAAGAAAGACGGTGGGAAAGCCGTGGAAGAATTTCGAATTATTTCCGTAATTGTTGTTTGGTTGGGGAACTTACGGGTCTCAGAATATTCATATTGGGGTTAGCGGCGGGTACGCTGTAGAATGATGTGTTTCTGGAATGGTGGTTGGATACTTGGATTACTTAATCCTTAATAAGGGCTGAGCTTTGGTTGGGCTAAGCTTGAAAACTGGCACTTAATTGATATTTTTGTATTTGTCGGAGCGACTGACGTGTAAATAATGCGTGTGTCGTCTTAGCGTTGGTCAGCTGACGGTAGCATTTGTGAGAGGTCGGTAGATTATATATGACACTTCAATACCTGAAATATTTTTTTATTTTTAATTTATACTCTAAAAAATTAAAATTCTTATACTCGATTAAATAAATGATAATAATGTTTCATTTTAAGAAAATTGAGTACATTAAGTATTATGTCATAATTGCACATATAATTAAGATAATATAAAAAATAGAACAAACACAAAGGATCTATTTGAAACTAATTGAAATTTTCAATTATTTTTTTTTTTGGTTTTTAAGGAAAAGATGTTTTGTTTATTTACATCCAAGCTTATTGGATTGCTTTTTCATCAATTTTTTGGTAAAAAAATAACTTTTAATAGCACAAAAGAAAAGCTGAAAAAAACTAACTTTTTTAGAAACACTTTAAACTCTTCAAAAAAAAAAACAACTCCAAACAGGCGCATTGTGTCATGTGATAAAAAAGCACCCGGGAAGGATGCACTGCCTACCCTGAGAAGGAAGGGAATGCAAAAGCAGTGAGAATATTTACCCAGCAAACTAATGCAATTGCCATTCTTGAAAGAACCTCTACTCATTAGAATAACTTCAGCATGGATAAACCTCAAAAATATCAAACATAAGCAGATACAACTTTCCAGAAAATAAATTATACATGTTTAGCACAGAATTCACCACTGGTACTTGGCAGCAACAAGGACTTCTTCATATTTCTGAGCAGCATTGTCCCAACTGAGGTCTTGCATCATCCCCCGTCTCTGGATCCCTCCCCAGCTCTCCTTGTACTGCCGGTAAGTCAATAAGCAGTTCCCCAATGCATTGATCAGCAGGTTTGCCTCGGCCCTATCAAATGTCCACCCAAGTCCCGTCTCATTAAAAGGATCAAAAGGTTGCACAGTTTCTCTCAGCCCTCCCACACCATGTACAACGGGAATAGTTCCATAGCGCATGGCATATAGCTGGTTCAGTCCACAAGGCTCAAATCTTGATGGCATCAGCAATATGTCCGCACCAGCAGTTATCCGGTGAGCTGTCTTTACCGAAAAACCAACCCATCCTCTAATTTTGTCGTGGTGTTGACTTTCAAAATGCCTGAGCATATCCTCAAGGTCAGGCCTTCCTGTGCCCAACATGACCAGTTGCACATCCTGACCCATCATCCAAGGAACCGCCTCAGCTATCAGATCAACACCTTTCTGGGGATCCAATCTCCCTATGAATCCAATCAATGGGATGTCACCACGAATGGGCAAACCAAGCTCCTTCTGTAATGCTTCCTTGCACTGTTGCTTGCCAGTCTGAAGGGTCTCCAGGGAGTAGTTAGTGTAACCATCAGATTTCAGGTATACATCCAACTCTGGGCTCCAATCTTTTGTATCAATTCCATTCACTATCCCCTTCAGTTTCCAGTCATTCTCATTGATTATCTCATGCAGACCCCAACCACCTTCAGAAGTTTTCAGCTCCCAGGCATATCCATGACTCACTGTAACGACACGATCTGCAGACTTCAGACCTGCTGCAAATATATTGAGATGCTCACCCCCTACTGGGTCATACATTCTAAAAAAGTCCAAGTATTGTGGAGGAAGATCGATGTAGGAAAAATCATCCAATGGACCACGACCCTGGATGCAGCGTACAAATGCAACCATAGAAATAAGAAACATCAGTTCAGGATACTAGAAAATAGAAACAGTTGATTTACAATTTTTGAAATTTTGCTCAAACAACTAGATATCAAATCTATATGTAAACCTTGTGATCATGACAGATGAACAAGTAAAATCAATTTCTCAATTTACATTAATAAGTACTCATGGCTCCAAGTTTTGCAATGTGTCGGCGTCGTCGTTTATTTGGTACAAACAATCCCAAAATGCAACACAGTAAACGGAAAGATTCAAAGTTCATTGAGTTCCCAAAAACATAATCACATCAAGAAAATTTTTGTTAATATAAAAATCTGCTTTCAAGTTTAAAACTCATCAATCAGCTGCCCAAGGAAACATCTGGAGATGATTACAAGGTTGGGGATAAGGTAATCAGCGGAAATCACAAATGAGGTTGGCATGTGCACTGCATATAAGCTTGTCTGCCTGTGCAGTCAAAATATTGTGGTATTTTGGTAATTAAGTAGAATTAAAAACGGATGACAAGCACATGGCATGATGGTAATGTGCAAGAGTCTGTCAGCTTAGGAAAAAAGATATAAACAATTACATTCCAATGAGCTTGGCATGCCAAGTACATAAAATGCAAAACAAAAAACATAAAATGTAAGGGGTTTTGACATAATGAATGTATTGTATTTTGACAGAGTATATAGTAAAACAGTAAGCAACTTCTTCAAGATTGTGTGTCCCTGAGTGCGGATGTTGACGCTAACTTTCATTTCATACCTACAACTCTCATCAGCCACAAAGGTCAAGAGATCATCTACTACAAAACTATAGATAATTTTATGCTAAATTCTCAGTACAGATTTATGCTATGGATGATGTTATGGGAAAATTAAAAGTAACAAGAAAAGTTTACAATGCTTATAGAGCTAACCTGGTGAGCTATGTTGTGAATTACAAGGACGGACCTCGTGTATTTCATCAATCCATTATCCCGATAATACGCCTTTAGATATACCGGCAACAATGCAGTATGCCAATCATTTGCAATGAAAACCAAATTTCCATCTCCATAGCAGGCTCCACCACATGGGACATGCCAAGGGACCTGAAAGTCAAGATTCTCCATATTATATATATAGCACTGGGGCAGATCAAAACATTGAACAAGAAAATGAGCAAGGATTAGATTTTGAATTAGACTACTGCTTAATGTCATTGCATTTTTGTATCCCCTTTCTTTCATGATTTCTCTCTTCCTTCTGTTTGTTTTTTCCCCTAATTTTGGGTGATTTTGTGGGTTTTTTTTGGGGCATAAGCTCATTCACTTTCATGATGTAGCTTATTATCCATTTTGCTCATTTTTGACATGTCAGTAGCAATATAAGCACCTGAGAGTATGACAGCTTTTGCCTGCACCTCTACTCCTGAACAAGATGGTAGTGACTTAGAAAGCATTAGAATCCCAAGAATCCACAACAGGAGGCCACACTGTGGCTGGCCAAAACTGAGCAACAAGAAGTCTCTCATTGAAATGTTTAGAATTATGATACAAACATTCTATGAAAATTTGGGGCCTGTTTGGTTTGCATCTCAAAAAAACAGTATCTAAAAACTATTTTTGAGAAGATTTTTAAAAAAGTGTTTTTAAAATTTTTAGATTACAAAACCATTTTGATTATATATTTTTGAAAATAGTTTTAAAAAACAAAAATTATAAAATTTGTTTGGACAATAATCCACAATTCTCACATCTCTTCAACTCTTTGTCTCTGTTTCTTTCACTGTGCATCAAGACCACCACTCTCTGTCTTTCTCTTTCACTGTGCATCAATACCACCATCCAAACCGAGAACCACCCAACACCCACAACCACAACCACCACCAACCTATAACCCACAACCACCACCAACCCACACCGAGAACCACCCAACACCCACCACCAAGACCACCACCCAACACCCACCACCAAGACCACCACCCAACACCCACAACCACCACCACCACCAACCCAATAACACCCAACACCCACAACTACCACCAAAGGATCTGTGCTTTCAATCGCCGGATCTGTGATTCCAGTCACTAGATCTATGGGTTGAAGACAAATCTATGGTGTAGGCAAGAGAGAGAGAGGGGTCAGGGAAAAAGAATGCAAAAGAAAAAAAAAATGTTTTTATAGTGGTACAATAAGTGCATAGTAAATGGGGTTCCTGTGTTTTCCGTGTTTTCACAATTTCCAAATAAAATCCAGAAAACAAGCCTGATTTTGAAAATTTTGAGAACAAAAATGTTAAACAAACAGGTTTTAGGTGTTTTTAAAATTTTGAAAACAAAAAATTGTTTTGCAAATGATAACCAAACACGGCCTTGAGTTCTTTTGATTCTAGCCTTCTTTCCCTCTTTGGATATTGTTCCCCTTTTAAGAGCTTTAAAATTGGTTTTGAGTTTAAGACTGGTAACAGCAGATTAGACTTCTCTGAGTCAATCTTTGGTAATTCTCCATAGTTGCACAAGCCAAAATTAATTATTCGTTCCATGCATCAATTCTAGGATTGATGGGTCATAAACAACAAGTGACAGTAAATTTTCTGAACTACGTTCTTTAGAGCCTGATCTTATATTATACCTCAACAGCCGCTTTGCACAATAAAACCATTCGCTTCAAAACATCCTGCATCAGCGAGCAACAAAAGACGATAATAAACTAGAAGTTCCACAACAAAAATCATAAAAGTTCAATGCAAATTAAAGAACATAATACAGGAAACACGAAATTAGATAACGTAACCCGGCTCACAAACAGCCTCAACATGTGGCACATCTGGTAGCAGACATCTATAAAAACTAGTAATCTGATCACACACTTCAAAGTTTTGTAGACGAATTGCATAAGAAATAGGGTGCAGTTAATTACACCTACTATCCTAATCACAAAAATTCTTAGTGGGAAGCAGCAAATGATTGTATATTGATATTCTATAAAGCCATGACATATAAGAAGTTATCTCAAATGATTATTTAGTATGAGATCATTAATCAGACGCTGATTATCTCTCAGAGACTCAAGCTAACTACCTGAGTGAACTTTATCTTACCACACGATTTCCTCCATACATATTATTTTCTCTATGCCGAAACTCAGGACTTTCCACGAAAACAAAATCTACACCATCAATATAGGCTTGGTAGTAAACCACCTCCATATCCTGCAGAGTTGCACATTGTCACAAACTTGAAATGTTTAATGGTTAATGATATCATAATACAGTAGGAAGTTAGTAGCATTTTAGTGCTGCTGATGCATACCTGCCCAGCAACCCTATACCTTTTCCTAACTCCAGTATCTTGAGGTTCAGCATAATTACCATAACGTGGTGCCACAACCTGGTTTCCAAACATTAAAACCACTTAAATTAACCCCAATAGACTACAAATTTATTGATATTGGTTGGTGTCAGATATGCTACTGCAAGTACATCTGAGATGTTAGTACCATATTCCAGCCAGTTAAAATTCTTCAAGTCATTCAACCTTTTCTTTTTCTTTTTCAGAAGTCATTAGGCTTTTATCAAGCAGACAAATGCAAAGTACCATTAACTACAAGATGACAATAGTATGGCTGACATGATTGAAGATGATTAAATGAGTCTAAAAACTAGTAAAGTGCAGCCTAACCTAATCCCCTAAAAAAAAATTCCACAACATAGGTTACACTTGTTTGCAACAATTTTCTAAAAACAACTTATTTTAGCACACCACCAAGTTATAAATAGATGAAAATACTAAACTTACCATAACCCTATGACCACGCCGAGCCAAAGCCTTTGGTAAAGCCCCAGCAACATCTCCAAGTCCACCTAAGAGAACTCTTTGTAAATTAGTGTGAGAGTTGCATACAACAATAATGCACACATACGAATAGAGGCATACATTAATACTTACCTTAGCATATATGCATACACATACCACTCACTATATTTATGAAGCTTTGATAAGTAAGACTTGTTAATTTGATATAACGGCAAAAGGCCATGCATAACTTTACCTTAAGAAACTCAATTTTCTACTTTCACCTTTTTTTGCATTTATTTTTCTTAACTGATGTCTTGGCCTAATGATAAAGTGGGGGACTGCTTAGAAGCAGATGCCAAGGTTTGAATCATATACCGCTGAACAACAAAAAATTTTTTACTGCCAAAATATTAATGAACATGCCAAATATGGAGGTTATCAGACCCATCCAGTCGGACAACTGTACATGCACGCACTTTCAGCCCACCACTCCAGAGTGATTTTAGACTTCTATTTTAATGTTTGTGAACCGTAGCAACAATATTACAAAGCAGGAATTAAAAACTGCTATCCACATAATGATAAAACAGAAAGAATGGATTTTGTAATGAGAAACTGGTACTGCAACAAAAAGAACATCCCAAATATTGTTTTCCCACCTCAGTACAGTAATTTATTGTAACATACCTGTTTTAGACCAAGGAGCACATTCTGCAGCAACCAATATAACATTCATAACATTGGGCCCGGCCAAAGGAGGGGATTTCACATCGTCATCCGCAGGATCATTTGCCTCACCAGTCACCTCTTGTAAACTCGATTCTTTAAAATCTTCTTTTTGTTCATCTTTTATAATGGATGTTGCAGAGAAACTCGGAAGAAAGGATGGCAGCTCAGCAGCCCTAACTGCCTCTGAAGCAGTGTCTGTTAACTGTTTGCTGGAATTTACATCTAAGGAACTCTTTTGAATGGGTAAGTCCTCAGTTTCCTTTGCACCTTCATCAGAAGGAATTTTTTCCAATATGTTTGGGGAATTTGCACTTAAATAAGCCTTTTTAGGAGGTAGGTCCTCAGGCTCCTTTGTGGTAGATAGATTTTCATTACTATCATCTTCATCAGTGGCATTATCATGGGTTGAAGCAATATTCAGACTTGAAAAAGTGATGTCCTCCTCTTCGTTGGAAAATTCGCCTTGTGGGTCTACTATACTATTCTTAATAGTTGAAACTAGTTTCCTTCTTTCTGCAATCTACAATGCCAAAAGAAGATCGGTGAGATCACTTTCAAAACCAAAAAGAAAATAGATACATTCAGGAAATTATAGTGCCTGAGACTATCAAATTTAGATAACCCAATACAACATGAGAACAACAATTGCCAAAACGAGATTATGCTGTTAAATGAGGGATTATCCTGCTTCAGCTAATCAAAATTAGCTAATGCAATAAAATGAGAAATAAGTCGACACTTTGAACAATTGATGATATGAGAAGCAGTATAGTAGTTAAAAGTATTTATCAAACGAGATTAAAGAAGAAAATTACTTGCTGAAGTAGGTCATTTTGAATGGCTAGAACCTTCTTGCTCTTCTCTATTGTGGCCTGAAATGTATCCTCCGATTTATCACCATCTTCAACTTCTCCAGAGCCCTTTCCTTTTGCTCTCAGACGTTTAGTTCTCCATGAAATTGAAGACGACCTACCAATATCCTCACCCACAACTTTGAAACACCCAAATGCCGAATCAGTCAAAACGCCAGAATCAAGAAACTTTATCGGCCTATACGCGAATAAAGGAAAGTTTGGTCGACTATAATTTGCACAGTGAAGAACGGAACTCTCCATTGCAGTGTCGATTACAAAAGGAAGAGACCCCATAGACGCCATTAAGATGTTCGATTTTCTACCTAAGAGAACTCACTAAGATTTTCGAGAAACTGAGATGAGTTAGTGGAAACTGAAGCAAACCCAGTAGAGGAAAATGAGATAAAGAGACCAAATTGATGGTTTTGAAATTGGGGGCAGCAAGAGGAGATACATGTTAGGGGTGATAAGTGGTGGAATGGATTTTGAAATGGACATGCAGAGGAAATCATGGACAAGAGATCAAGTCTGTCTCTTTTTAAGAGGTTCGTTGGAAATGTGCAAATGTGCCACACTGAAAGAAAATCATTGGGATGATTTGTGAGGCTCAGATTTGGCTGAGAATTGCAAACCAGGAATTAGAAATCTGGTTCATATTAACCTGCCAAAAAAATCACAGCCTTTCTAGTCTTTACACCGTACCTGAAAAGGCTCATTCTTTTTTTGCTATTATTTATTATTTTTACTTTTGAAGGACATCTTAATTAATTTACGTATACCTTGACTAATTTTTTTTTATTCAATTAAATACAAGTGATATTTACGGATTATGCCAATATCTTTAGGGGTATTTATTGATTTTCACTCGCATGTTTAAAAGATACGGGTAATTTTTAAGTAAACTTATGAAACATTGCATTCACGTATATTAAAAATGACAACTTCATGAGAAATTTGAAATTATATGCGTGAAAAAATATATTTAGAGATATCGTTGAACTTATTGGGAAGTGTATTTTTAAATCTAAAAATATCAATTGGATTTTTTTTGTAGCATGGTAGATCTCACAATAATATACACGACTTGTAAACCTAATACAAAATCGAAATGAAATAGTCCATTTGGATTATTGTTTAGTCATGACGGGTTTAGGGTTACAAACAGATTAATTTGTTATACTTGTCAAGTAAATGGGTTGATACGAATTTAATTAAACGCAACTTATATATGATACATATCTAATTTTATAAAGTTATAAATAAGTCAATCATAACTAAGCCCTTGCCTATTCGGGCCTCTGCCACTGTCCTAGTGTCCGTCACCTCTATCGTTATTAACTAAGCCCATTAGCCCAACATGTTGTGTTTATTAGTCTCCATGGGCTTAGGAAAAAGTGAAAGGCCCAAGAAAAGTCAAGGCCGACGGACACGACGGTTGCCAATCTGGTACTTGGCCGCAATAACTACCTCCTTCTGTTCAAATTTGAATCACCAACGAATCCTATATAAATCACACCCTCACAATGATGAATCAAATTTCAAAAAAAAAAAAACAATCAAACCCACTAAGTATTTCAACCAGTTTTCTGTTTCCTTTGCACTCATCAAAATCATCCACGCCAAAATGGAGCAAACTGAAGAAGGAACAGGGATCAAAATCTACAATGCTGAACCCCCACAAGAAGATGAGCCCATTCCATACCCCTCCACCACTCAGTGTGCTCCAGGAGGTGGCCGGAAACGCCGTGCCGTCGCAAACGGAGTACAGAAAACCCTATCGAAAACTTCCATGCTCGCCAACTTCCTCCCCACCGGAACACTTCTCACATTCGAAATGGTCATTCCTTCCATATACCACAATGGTGAATGCACTCCGGTCAGCACTTTAATGATCCACGTCCTATTGGGATTGTGCGCTCTTTCGTGCTTCTTCTTTCACTTCACCGATAGTTTCCGAGGACCGGACGGAAAAGTGTACTATGGGTTTGTGACCAATAGGGGTTTGGCTGTGTTTAAGCCTGGTCTTAATGTGGAAGTGCCTAAAGAGGAGAGATATAAGCTTGGTTTCACAGACTTTATCCACGCAATCATGTCAGTGATGGTGTTCATGGCGATCGCGTTGTCAGATCATCGGGTGACCAACTGTCTGTTTCCGGGGCACGAGAAGGACATGGACGAAGTGACGGAGAGTTTTCCATTAATGGTTGGGATAGTTTGTAGTGGTTTGTTTCTTGTGTTTCCCAACACTCGATATGGCATTGGGTGCATGGCTACATGACAGTAACAGTGGTGTTATGGTTTGTGTGTGCACCTTTGAAGTTCTGTATTTATTAATTAGCAGTAGATCAATAGACACGTGAGACATTGATCTATCACGAATAAATTTTCTTTATTTATGGCCTGTAATAAATAATAAATTGTTTTATTTTGTGGCTAATTGTTAGTAAAAGTTATAACTAATTTACTAACTCCATTGAATTAAGTTTCTGTCTTATACCATTACTCATAAATAAATACAATATTGGCCCTCCCATTATCTTATACTGAAGTCTGAAAGTCCATATGTTCATCGGTGTCCAAGAACTGGCCCATCCGTGCGTCTCATTTGGTTGGGATCCATTATACTGGGTGATTAATTGAGAAAAAGTCCAGAATGCTTGTGCAGCCCCCATTCATGGCATGGTTCGGCAACGGTTCTTAACCACCAAGCAAATATACCCGCCAAAAGCTCCAACTGTAATTGGAATGTCGATTCGGATTTCAAAAGGCAACAATGCCTCTCTCTCCTCAACTCCTGCTCTTCTCTGGATCAGCTCTTTCAAATCCATGCACAAATCCTAATCGCTGGTTTCCAGAAAGATGAACAAATTGTAGATAAAATCATCCAATTTTGCGCACTACATCCCTCGGGAAGCTTGAATCACGCAAGACAAGCTATAAAACAATCCGAAAACCAAATACCCTCTTCGTGGAACAATCTCATCAGGGGCTACGCTACTAAGGGCGATTCACCAAGAGAAGCCATATGGGTTTTCCTTGCAATGCGACGTTCAAGAACCAGACCCAATGAGTTCACTTACCCATTTCTTTTCAAGGCTTCTACTACATTTTCGGGGCTCAAAGAAGGGCAACAAATCCATGCGGATGTTTTGAAGCACAGAGTGGATGATGATGTATATGTGCAGAATACTGTGATTCATTTTTATGGGTCTTCTAAGAAGATTGTAGATGCATGCCGGATGTTCGATGAAATGTTGTTTAGAACTCTCGTTTCTTGGAATTCAATCATTTCTAGCTGTGTTGATAACTTGTGGTTCTATGAATTGATTAAGTACTTTGTCAGGATGAGAAATTGTGGGTTAAAGCCGGATGAGACCACGATGGTAATTCTGCTTTCTGCTTGTGCTGAGCTTGGAAACCTGAACTTGGGAAAATGGGCTCATGCCCAAGTTATTGAGAAAGGGTTGATTGTAAATTGTCAATTGGGTACATCCCTGGTTGACATGTATGCCAAGTGTGCAGCTGTGGATTATGCTAGCCTAGTTTTTGATGCCACACTTGAACGCAATGTATGGACTTGGAGTGCGATGATTCTTGGGTTAGCCCAGCATGGGATTGCTACCAAAGCCCTTGAACTTTTCAGAAAATTGAAGAAGAATGTAGTTCAACCTAATTATGTGACATTCCTTGGGGTCCTCTGTGCTTGTGGCCATGCTGGACTGGTGGAGGATGGACATAGATTCTTTCATGAAATGGAGCATGTGCATGGTTTCAAACCTATGATGATACATTATGGTGCCATGGTAGATGTTTTGGGTCGTGCTGGTCGTCTAAAAGAAGCATATAACTTCATCATTCATATTGTAAAGGATAGAAATCGCTACGGGATTTCAGCCCCCCACTCGAAGGATTCTGACTGACTTGGCAGCACCGAACCCCAGTATCCTTTACCTCTCTTCGCCAATAGGACCCTTTCTTAAGGCAATCCCACATCGGCACCTGATCAGGTGCTAGTGGGTACCTCCTCCATAGGAAATGTTCACTTATATGACAGGGGGGGAGGGAGACGACTCTCTTCCAATGTGGGATTGCCTTAGGAAAGGGTCCTATTGGCGAAGAGAGGTAAAGGCTACTGGGGCTCGGTGCCACTAGGTCAGTCGGAATCCTTCGAGTGGAGGGCTGAAATCTCGTAGCGATTTCTACCTCTTACAAAAAGATGTCTTTCCGTAAGGGGTAGAATCCTCTACTAAGGATTTCGGCTTGACCTAGGTTAACCCATGCAGGCGACCCCCCAGTAACCTTTACCTCTCAGTGCCCACGGCAGCTTCGTCCCACATCGACTGAAAGTCGTTTCCCTCCCTTGCATATAAACCCTTGCATTTAAAGGAGGAGGTACCCACTAGGCACCTAATCCCAAATTGTGCGTGCAGGATCTTGCACAATATAAACACGAGAACAGATCTCTCCCGTGGTGAACTCGAGTCAGTCAATCGAATGGTCAACCTTGCTGCTTGGAACAGACTGTGAGGTCTGGTGGTGGCCTGGAAACGGTAATGGGTGACTTTCTCGCAGGATCAGTAAGGCTGAGGGAGGTTCTTGGAACAGAAAAAAATGAGTTAGGAGGGCGCCGGAGTATTTTTCGGCGTATCCCCTCCGACGATCAAGTCAGTTCTTTGAGAGAGGGGAAAGAGAAAATATTGTGTATTTCTTTGAGAAAAGGTTTCTTATTGCATACCGTCTTGCCTTTTATGAGGAGTATTTATACCTCAAAAACTCATGATTGTTGTCAGTGTGGTCAGTAGATGATCATTAGATACGGGCAACGTGCGCACTGATTCCTATGAGGAATGTCTTCTCTCTTAACTGCTCAGGACCCCGAGCAACCAATGCTTCGTCATCGGCCTGTCGAATGTTTAATGAGCTTCTCTAGGCAAGGATGTAATAAATGCCCAGTCATAGGGACATTTATTACCTTTCACTTCCGAACCTTCCTGCATTAAATGATGTCTCATCAAGGGAATGGTGCACTAAATGCTTACTTTCCCAAGTCGTGTGTCAGCAAGGACATCTCGTTCTTTTTGTCTCTGATCTGACACAATATGCCACGCGCCTATTCCCCATTGATTGTGTTTTTTGCCTTCTTGTGCCTTCTGACACCAATTGTGTAAGACGTGGTCATGATGGCTAACCTAGCTTAGCCTAGGCTAGTGACCTGTACATCAATAGCCTCTGTAGGAGCAGAAAATGCCAACCTGTACGGGTACATCTCGGTACCGAGGGAGTGGTACATGTAGGGACCGATGTACCATATATTCGACCGAGGGATATGTGTCGGTACGTAACGTACTGAGTGTCATTGATCACTATGAACAATACCTCGGGGGAAGAGGGACTTGTGAATCGACGAGTACGTGTCGTGATCACAGTAATAAGAATATAATGATGCCGAGGACACGTGTCTTCATCTTGGAGTATTTGAAAATGTCCCATCAACTGCCCCCTAGCCTTCGATCTCCTGACACCGAGGACACGCGTCGTAAGGAGATGAAGGGTTCTGCAACTACCCCAACTACTTCATCATTGCCTCTAGCCGCTTTCCCCTGCTTAGGAGGTTGTGCGCATTAAATGCGCCTCTTCGTATTTCGTACCCAAATGATGGGAATGGGTACTATATAAATGGGCTTTCTCTCTCCCTCTCTCATTTTGCCATTTCGAACTTCTTCAGAGAGCCTTTGCCTGAAACCTTGCCGGAGATCTCTTTCTTTTCATTGTCTACTGCCCAATCTTTCACCGGAGTCTCAAGGCTAGTAGACCCATCTTTGCTTCTGAACATCCTAGGGGAAGGAATCACTTTAAGTTTTCAAGAAAAACTTGCGTTTACGTTTTGGTGAGTCCTTGTATCTTCCCTCTCTTCGCCCTTCTGTCTCTTCTTTTCTTCTTCTCGCCGTTTTTATTTTCTTTTGATTTTCTAATAACTGGAGGTGTTTCTGGTTGTCATTTTGTGACCAACCCTCGGGAAGCCTCCTCAGGGATCTTCGTGGGAAAACCCTTCCCTTCTTTCTCAATTTTCATCATTTTTGGAGATGCCCTGACGTCGCCCTACCCCTGAGAATCCTCAGGCTAGTTCCTCGAGGCCAGGGAAGTACAAAGTGAAGGGGGCGAGCAGATTAATAGGTTTAGGGTCCGGTATCGCATCCCCCCATATGTAGACATAGAGGATTATAACTCGGTTGTGCATTCTCGTACCCTCGGGGCTGAGGATGAGATGCCCTTTTATACCAAAACCATCATAGAGGACGGAATTAGGTTCCCTCTGCCCCCTCTACTCCTCCAGTTCCTCTCCCATTTCCACCTCTTCCCCGGGCAGTGTTGCCTCAATGTCTTCAGGATAATAATGAGAGTCTTAGAGTTCAACAAACGTCTCAGGGTAAATTTTGAGTTGAACGATATTCTCTTTTGCTACTCTCTCTTGAGGGTCATGTCTCAGCAAAACTTCTACCTCAAAGCCAGGGACCCATCCATGTACCTTGTAACTCACCTTCCTGACTCAAACAAGGGGTACAAGGATGACCTATTGATCTTCAAGGGGTTCTGGCAGAGGGGTGCCGGTCCTGAATACGACGGGTGTGTTATGCCCTTTGGAATGGAGAACGACAAGTACGTCGGTTTCTTCGAGTCTATTATTTTGTTCTTGAAATTTTTTAAAAGTGTTCATAACTCCTTCTCCTCTCTTTTTTTTGTGTAGACGTCTCCGCTCGGGAAACAGCTCCTCCACTTCGGTCCTTGGTAAACTTTATCGACCTCGTCACTGTTTGGAGATTTGTTGGCGACGACGAGTTCAGCCGGGCTGCTCACATTCTTCTGAACTACACTCCCGGATATAAAAAGTTCTCACAGCTCCCCCAGCCTTTCGAGCCTTCGTGGTAGTTTGAACTCTTCGATCAGGCTGCGCAACAAGAGTTTGAGGAGAATTTGGAGGAAGACCGCGACCGGACTACAGAGGCGAAGTAGAGGGTGTTGTTGAAGTTGAGGAGTTCGGGGCTAGGGAGGCTTTTGTTCCTTCGTACGCCGAAGTGGGGACTTCGGGGAGAGATTCGTGGCCTGACTTCCAAATCCTGCAGTCCCTAGACGAGGAGGACGCCCTCGAGGTAGCCATGTCGAACACGCCTCGCATAGATCTGGGGTTCCTGAGGCAGAGGCAGGCCCTCGTTGTCGGGAGAGGGCGTGGGTCAACCAGCGGGGCCCCATCTACAGGGACCAGCGCCACCCCACCTTCAAGAGCCATTGATCGGGGTCAAGTGCGTGACCGAGATCCTCAGGTAGAGGAGGAGAAAAGGGTCAAACAAAGGCACGACGGCCTTGGTAGGGGATTTAGGGGCCCCTCCGCTCAGCAGCAAAGCGGGAGAAGCCGTGGGTTACCTCCTCCTCCCCAGTAGCAACAGCAACAACAATAGCAACAGCAGCAGAGACAGACTCCACCTCCCCCTTCGCAGACGGTGGAAGCCGTAGAGTGGAACTCTCGGGCCACTGATCACATGAACCGAGTGATCAGGGTTGATGATTCCATTTTGCAGGACTCCCATGTTGCCAATGCAGTGGGTGAAACGTTGCACTTCGAGGCCGACATGGTGGCTCACAGGGGGTGATCAACAAATGCGTTGTTTCGTTCTATCATTCAAAATTTCCTGGTGGTAAGTATATCTTCGCTTCAGTCTTTTCTAGCCATGTTACTTTTTGTTGACAAGTCCTTTCCTTTGCAGGCCACCCAACAGATTTCCATAATTACTGCGCAGTATCATGTAGCTAGGATGGACCTCTAGAGGGTTCAAGAGCAGAAGGAAGAGGTCGAGGGAGCCCTGACCAGTGCCAAGGAGGATATAGTTTCCAGGGATTCCACTCTCGCGGGACAGGCTACTCAGATTTAGCAACTACTCAAGGACGACGAATTGGCGAAGGTCGGTGCTGAAAAGCTAAGTGCTGCCTTGGCCGACGCTGAGAGGAGGATTACAGAGCAGACGCAGCGACTCTCTACGGCAGAGGATAAGGCCGTCGGTTTAGAGGAGAGTTGTCTGGCTCTGACCCAGGAGCTGGACAGGATCAGAGCTGAGGCGGAGAACAGGAAGTCCAAAGAACAACTCCGAGAGGAGTTCGTCGACGACGTGCTGCCTGCGCTTGAGGAAAATAGCAAGGAGTTCTTCAAAAAGGGGTGGGACGAGGCACTTCGGTCTGCTGGGATCCTTCCAGACTCCCTGCTCTTCCAGATGCATAACTACGTGCAATCGGTAGAGATGGAGCAGGCCGAGGCCGAGATTGCTGCCGAGGGTGTGACTCCAACGTCGATGCAAGTTTCAGCAGACCCGCCCGAGCCGGTAATTTTGGATCTATCCAACGAGGTTCTGCCAGACCTAGCCCCTGACCACAATATTCCTCAGACTCTCCCTATTGTTGAGTCACTCCCAGCTCTGCCTGCTCCCGAAGCTACTCAACCCTTTTGCGTCGATTCGCCTTGCAGCGATGTGTTGGAGATGCCTGGGGCCAGATGAAGACTTTTTGCCCACCTCTTTTTTTTTTTTTTTTGAACTGTACTCCTTTTCTCCTTTTTGTAGCTCTTGGGGACGCAAACCCCTCCTTTGAAATGAAGCTTTTTTATTTGTTCTTGCATTTTATTTCGTGCGTCCTCTTCTCTTTTTTTTTTTTTAACGACCTTGATATCCCCGACACCTGGGGAGTTATTCTACCAGTCCGCCCGATTGGTTCAGCTTCATCATTGCTAGGGACCGTACGCATCCGCGGGGGCTTGCCCATCGTGAAAGTTTATTCGTACTCTTTATTTCGAGGCACGAGTCTTTGAACTCTACATCCAGGGTCTTACCCTCCTAGGGGGCTTGCCCCATTTTTTCCTTCGGGGGCAGGAGTCCTT